CATGCTGCAGAAACCCCTTTGGGCTTGCTGGCCCCACGACTTCTCTTCTCACTATGCTGAGGGATAGCCCCAGGTTCATTTGTGTTAACATCAGAGGAACTCGAGGGCTTTTTGAGGGAACTTCTACCCCGGGGCATCCCAGGACACTGTGTGTGCTACTGTAAGACAGAAACTTCTGCACGAGTCACACATCCTTCGATTGGTTCTTGGTTGCCCTTGGCCTCTCTTATCTAGCTCAGATCTGTGGCAGAGCCACTGCTTGGCCTGAGGAACATGTTTTGCAGGTGTGCACGTCTCCAGTCTAGGAGTTTCCCCGACCTCTGGTTTCCTCCTAAGCAGAAATGCAAGACCACAGAACCTTAGTTTTAAACTCTGATCTTGTGACAGTTATTTGCACTTCATGGCAGAAATGCAATAGTGTTTAGCAGAACACATGAATATAAATCTCATACCACTTCTTAAGAATTCCCTTCTCTGCTGCTGAAGATACTCATCACTAACCTCAGCGCTGCAGCAGTAACACTGCGATGGGTTACTGTTGAAAAAGTTTTAAAGCCTTTGTCCTGTTCCTCCTTATCTTCTCATCTGTGTTTAATGTGCATTGTATACTAACCCCAAACTACTTAGAACTTATTTGTAATTCCACAAAGTCTGAGTAAAAAAGTGGCCTCAGAGGAGGTCTGGGTTTACTGTTGACTTGGCCACACAGTTAAGAAAAGTGTAAAAGTAGTGTTTTCATTAGGAAAAGAAAGACAATCTTCCTGTTAGTCCTGGTGTAGAAAAGAGCATTACCACTTAAATCTTAGCTAGTTTCTCTCTAGTTTATACCAACCGTATCATATATATTAAAATTATAATTTCTTCCCACACTGGAATTAAAAGTTCTATTATCAGTACTACCTTTCACTGGTGTAAACACAGAGTTACAACCTAATCTGTAGCCCATGAAGGTCAGGGATCTCTTTCATTTGCCTTCAGTGGAGAGCCAGTCAAGCTTACTATTGTCCTAAAGATAGGCATCTATTATAGCAACTCCTTTCCCTCCCCATCTGTACTTTTTGTAGACCTCCCAGGACACGTCTGCTGTTCCTTCCTCTATCAGGCAGCATCCAGGAAACCAGAGTTTTCATGTGGGTTATATATAATTTCGTAATAAAAGTCCTTTTTTCCACAGCAGTCTCAGAATGCCACCCTGCGCAGAGGGGTGCTGGTGATGCGCCACGGGGAAAAATCAGGTCTTTGGCAAGTCGTGGCTTCAGCAGTGCTTGACCACAGATGGTGAGTAAGATAATGGAAGGATCTTAGCAAATCAGAACTGAAACCAATTGACCCCAGTAATGAGTATGAGAGATTCAGTCTCCTATGTGTAAATATAAACACTGACACAAAAGAGTGAGTAACATTGCAAGTCAGGCGTAGCACTGCTTTGACCTACCCGTAACCACTATTTCATAATGTCCTAAAGACCTTCATGCTTATGTTAGATAAACTCTGCAGAAGAAGCAAATCTCTTGTGATACTGACAGATGTGTTTCACTGAAGGATGTACAAAACACAAGACCTCTACCGCTGGTTGCACAAGGTGGTGGTTGTCAGACCCCTTCATCTTTACACGCCTGAGTCAGAATTGTGGTCAGAGTCACAGTACGTCACTAGTCAAACCTGGGGAAGAAGAGCAAGAGCAAACCGTGGTGCAAATGAGATGTCAGCACCAACTTAAAAGCTGAATTTCTTGGCCTTCTCTCTCAAAAAAAGTATGTTTTGAGGTGAAGAAAACTGACCCAGAACAGGGAAATATGTGTCAGCAGGCAGGAGAGGAAGAAGCCGGTGGGAGTTCAGAAGGGAGAGCTTTATGCTGAAAGTCTCCTTTATTATGCCGGTGATCTTCTATACTAAATGTGCAAAATTCACACTAGATAATGAGGGCGGTACCTTCTGGCTGTATAATCAACTTATTGGTTTCATTTTTCTTCAGTGGAAATGCTTTTTTGTCATTTTGGCAATTGTAAAAGCATATCAGTATGGAGTGGATTTTTGTTTCATTTAAGCCCCCAAAGCCAAATTCTCACAATTTGCTGTCCTCTCTCTCCTCCCCCCCATTTTCTCCTTCAGAGCTTGCAGAAGAGGTGATATTTTGTTAGGACATGTAATTTCCCAAGCCAGTGTTGTGACCTTAAAACATGATCTCTTTAAGGTAATAGCAGTCACCAGGTCTTTTTCATCAGTGAGACACTGACTGGGTCTGTAGTACTAAAATAATCCTGTAGGCATCTGAATTCAGGCACTGTCCATGATTCCCTAAACTGCTTAGTTATCAGCTGTCTCTTTGGCATGGTTTCAGTTGATGGCAGCTCGCCCTCGCCCACATCGTTTGAAGGCGATGTTTGGGGAGAGCACAGGCCACTGTCCATCGCCAGTGGACAGCCAGCATGGGTGTTTGAGGTGGAGGAAGGAGAGACTAGCTCCTTGGGCAGATGCCCTGCTTCATTGCTTACCCTCGTGGCCAGAGAACAGGCCTCAGCTTGTTTCCTTTGCCAGTCGAGATGTCACTCGGGGCTGAGTTTTCAACCATTCAGAAGAAATGAAGCCATTATATGGAAATGCCACCTGTGTGTTCGACTGTTGCCCACCTTGTGCCATGGCAAAATGTCCTACCTCATTTCAGGAAAATACTACAGAGCAGATCTGAACTTCCCTTCCACCCTGCCGAAGCGGAAAGACAACGTGAAGCATTTTGAATACGATCCTCCTTTATCTTGCTGTGGTATTTTCCAGTCAAGGCTTATAGGTAAGCTGAATAATATTCTACTGCAAATATAAGAGTTTGGGAAGCAGGGTTTCATCATCTGCAAAAGCTCATACAGGCTTTGCAGTAGAAAAACTCCTAGTAGCACGCATTATCGTAACTCTTCCCTATGGGCAACCACTGCGAGATCTTGTTAAACAGTAAAATAGAGAGTGGGGCTGGTTGCTCATCTTTGAGACCCATCCTGCCAGTTCCTGGCAAAGAAAGTTAAAAGAAAGAAGCTACAATGCTACATATGCCCATCTGCTTCTCTGCAAGGGACTAATGTCTTATGAAGTTGTCACTGAATGGGCAGCGAGGAGTGCAGCAGCTGCATGGTCAGCAGAGTGTGATCAGGTCACCACAGGTAGCTGGTGGCTGGGTGATATGGGTTAGTCTGACTCAATTCACTCACTGGATGAAGTTATTTTTGCTCCCTGAGCGAGCACACCTGACTGGACAATGGAAGTCTGCTGCAAATGCTTGTCTCTGGTGATTCAGATATCCGGAGACAGCCAAGCCCCTAACTGCTGTTTGCAGATTTGGAGTGAATCTTCTGTCATTATCTTTCATTTTAAACTTGCCATTGCCACCAGAATGAGCTTTTTAGTGGCCTTATTCAGCCAATAGTGTGAAAAAATGAATGGAAAGGGACTGTCAATGTATCCGACACCAATGAAACTGAAAAGTTCCAAGCTGTTTTTTGCAGAAAGTGTTTTGTAGTAGTTTCTCATCAGTCATGATTTGTAAAAGAGCAACTCGCTTTGCTGTTCCCGCCCAGGGGAAGCTCTGCTGGACCAGGAGGTGACAGTCAGCTACGTGTACTCATCACCCGCGCTCCGCTGCGTACAGACAGCTCAACACCTACTGCAGGGTAAGGTAGAAAAACCAGCCAGGCGCTTTTGCAACGGCAAAAATGCCTTCATCAAACTTCTGTGAAGTCTCTGAGAGAAGTAATTAAGAAGATATATGATTTTATGCATATTTGTTGTTATATTTAAGCAGGGAAGACAAGGTGGTTTTGTCTAGCTGGTAATCTAGGCAGTAATAAACCTGCTGCCATGTCTCTGGTCTGGAGAGTACTATCCTGTTAACTCTAGTCCTCACTAGTTAAAATGGAATCTAATGTTATATGAAACAGAGATATTTCACATCAGGCTGAATTCAACATTAGTAGCTGCTCATCAAATCACCACTGCCACCTCTTCCAGAAAATATTCTGAGCCAAAAAGCGAATGTTTCCAGTGCTCTGAAGGATACGTATGTGAATCAGGGAAGATAGCTTTCTCCTGAAACCATTTACCTTTGCAAGCCAAACTATTTTAATTCCTTCATACTGCAGACCCTCTTTCCTTCTCCTTCTCCTTCTGCCTCTCTCTTTCTCTCCTTTTTTCTTTTCCTGTCCCCTCCAACAGATCTGTCGGAGGTTCACAGTTCGTTACCAGGTTTACATCAGAATTACAATGGGAGTGCATTTCTTCTGGGAGCTAGCACCACTCAGTAACCTCTCTTGAGAATAATCAACAAAACAACGTGTCTTATCACAAAAGAATTCCATTTCTAACACCACAGGATGATTTATTGCCCTGTCAAGAACCACCAAACAAAATGCTATATAAAAAGGGTAAAAACATTTCCTGTCTAAAGTTTATTCGGATTGCAACATTAATGAGCTCTTTTCTTCTATTCTCTCCTGTACCTTGCAGCTCATCACAAGAAAGCTCCAGAAATAATAATAATAATAGTAATAATAATAATAGTAATAATAATAATAATGTAAGAATTTGTAGTGACTTGACATAAGTCAGACAAGAATATAATGTTGACTTCATTTAATCAACATGACCCTTTTTTGTTCAACATAAGTAATTCTTTTTCATTAATGAAAACATTACAGCAAACAACGTAGAATGTACAGCATGAGTGTACGCTTTCTTCTCTTGATAAATATTTCTTGTTCTTGCAGGGCTTAAATTAGATCAAAAAGTCAAAATCAGGGTGGAACCAGGACTGTTTGAATGGACCAAGTGGGAATCAAGCAAGGTAATTCCTAACTTCATGACTGTGACAGAACTGGCAGAGGCATCATACACGACAGACACAAGTTACAGGTAATTGCTCCATATCTAGCTGTTAACGCCTTATTTTTTTTCCCTGAGGTATCTCTTCATCTTTATATTTGTCATAAATCATTGCAGACACTACAAAAGATGGGTGATTCTGATCAAATTCAAGTCTGCGTGATCTGTTCCCAAAATACGACATCCCATCAGCTGCCTTGTGCCAAGAGTCCACTTTGTCCGCTGCTCTGACGCGGACACACACACGCACGCTTGGCAATGTGTGTGCAGGCAGCGCACAGGTGCACCTGCACACACACAAACATCTGATGCTTGTGTACGGCACCAGCCCTGCTTCGCTGTTGCCTTCAGATCCACCAGCTCAGGTCCATGGTTTGTCATGCACAGGCATAACTGTGTTACAGGCATTTGTATCAGGTACCAGGAGTTTCGTTTTCACCTTTGGCTTACATGAACCACACTTTAGAAATGTGAGGAATAACCTGTCGGGTAAATAACACGCTGCTTTTCAGTGACGGAGAAACATGACTTTAGAAAAGGTTAGTAAGCCCTTTGTTTAGAGTCTGCAGGGCAGCAGCAAGAAGTTTGCCCCATGGCAGAGGATGAACCCAGGGCTGGGAGGTGACAAGGAGCACAGCTCCACGCCTGAAACCTTGCTGGTTTGTGTCACTGAAGCAACAGCTATAGCAGGAAGGGAAAGCAGGGCGTCACCCCAGGGGCTGGGGAAAAAGAGATGAGCTCGACACAAACCAGCTGTCCTCCTGGTTTGGGGGGCAAGCAGGATAACAGCCTGTCACCAAGATCCATCGGAGAGGGGGCCTGTTTTGTTTTGGGTTGCTCGAAGATTAACATTGTGCTCAGCAAGAGCTTTTTGGGGCCCTCACAACTGAGGTGTGGAGCGGGTGTTGATGCCTTTTCTGAGCGCTTGCAAACCACAGCAGGGCAGGAAACCATAAGCCTCCAATTCAATCTAGCTCCTCATCTTGCTCACAAACCAGGCTGCTCTGTGTTCACTGTGCACAGCCAGATCCAGGAAATTACTCAGCTAATGAAAACGAGTGTCTCTGGGGTTTCCCACATATTCAAGAAAGGGGGAAAGGAAACTTCTCATGTCTCAATGCATTTCTTACAGTCAAGCAAGTATCTTCATTTGAAATTGCATGGAGGAATAAAATCCTTCATTTTCTTGGATCATAGTGCTTTCTGGTGTGTTTTACCACCAACAGACTCTTTTCTCAAGTTTTTTTGATACAAAATCACTTGCCTCAAACTTCCACATAGAAAAGGGTGCAAATGTAGAGCAGTGGGGAGTTCAGAGGGGAAGCTCTGAAGCAATGCTATCTACAGAGTTCAGACACCTCACAGCTCACCCAGGTCCAGGCAAAAATAGGGTGGATGAGCTACAAACTTGCACGTATGATGCCAGTTTCTTCCCGTCACATGTGGCGTTCAAAATCCTCAGGTTCTAGAAGGTGGTTTTACCACATTCACCCACTGCAAATGACGACCTTCAGCTAGGTTAAATCCTGGGTCGTTCCCTGTCAGCAGAGGACCTGACTCAAATTCTTCTGTTTCCAGTGCCACTAAAAGGCAATGCGAGTGGTGCTGAAACATCTGCTGCCCAAGCATTGTGCCCTGAGATGGAATCACCTTGAGGTTCACTGCACTCAGTCGCAGACACCTAAGAGTTGGGTGTCCAGGCTGCGGTCGTTCACTAGCAGCCTTTTTGTTGGTGGAAAGAAGGGGACTCCCAAGACAGTGATTTTCCATCTTAGCCTACGTCAGACACTTAAGATAGCATGAATTGCCTTCTGAAGGGGCTTACTTGTCTCCTTTGACCTAGCCAGACGCTTGAGTTGTAGGCAGCTAAGGCTGGATGATGTTAACTCGGCCTCTTCCTCCTCTTAAACTCTGACAGAAGCAGAGGATTGGCAGGCACTCCTTGTCCCAAAGCAGGATACACTCTGCCTTTGCCATTCCTACTGTTAAAGACTGCCAGTCATGGTGTAAGCTGCTTATTTCTTTCCTCTTCATCCTTTGCATGGAGGACAGACCCTTCCTTTCCTCTTCACAACTGCCTTTTGCAGACCATTATCATGTCCTTCTCCAGCCTTTCCTCCAAGCCGAACTCTTCCCATCCTCCCTCAGGCTGTGTTTTCCAAACCCCTGCTCACTGCTCCTCTCTGGATTTTCTCTTGTTGGTCCTCACCTCACTTGTCCTGTAGCACTCACTGCTGGACACAGCACTCACACCGAGACCTTAGCCTGGCTTGAGCCCTCCTGTTGCTATTTAGCCTGGAAACCACCTGGGCCAGTGCTGGAGATGCTCATTTCTGCTGCAGGATGGCTTGTTAGTAACAGGGTTAATACTGAGGTGCCAACTGGACAGCACATGAAAAAAAAAATATTGCAGCTCTGCCAAAAGGCAGACTAGTTTTGAGTACCCCAATCTAGACTTGTCTGACCTAGCCAGGATTAGTGTTAGTTGTGATTGACAATCCAGCACGAGCCTTTCACACGGTTTTACCACCTGTTTTCTACTTTTGCCGTTTGTGCTGACATAATGTACCGAGGACTCAGCTGTGAAAGTACACTGTGATACCATACCTTACTACAATATGTTAGTCTAACCTCACTTCTGCCTGTGCGGTGAATGAGGAGACCGTCAAATCAGGGTGAGGCGGGCAGCTCTTTGTAGAAAAAAAATTAACACCTTATATTGTATCACAACACATGGCTAGCTATTTGCCAGCTGTAGCAGTGAACGCTTCCCATTCCCAGAGAAGACAGATTAAAAGGATGACAGGAAAAACAGAAAGTGAGTTTGGGAAGGTTTTATTCTGTTGCCAAGAAGCCCCGATTCTAGCAGCTGCTAAGTGGGTAGATATCAAAGACAGGAGCCTGTTGAGAGGCAGCAAATGGTCCTGCTGCCTATTTTGCCTGTCCTGCAGCTCTGGGAAGGCTGTCAGGGCCTCCCATTCCTGGGAATTTGGTGTTCCCAGCCACCTTCCCTTGGCACCGCTGACCATCAGGACACTGCAAGCTCTTCCCTTCTCCCAGGGCTGGGCAGAGCTAATGTCTTGGAAGCTGCTGTGGCGCCTTGGGACAGGTCTGTGCAGGGTTCATGGCATCCATCAACCCAAGTCCTACCAGTCCTGTGAGGCTGCTCTGATTCACAGCAGCTTGAAGGTCTGGCTCTTACTTTTTTTTGAAAATGTTTATTCAGTACCTGAAGAGCCCCAATGTATAAAAGAAAGAAGAATGCCTGATCTCAGCACAAGAACCGCTCAGATACTTAGGAGCGGCGCGTTATGATTAATATCCTTGGAAACGATTTTTTTCTTTTTTAACTCTAGGAATGGAAGTCTTTGCTATCCATTTGTCCAGCTAATGCAGATATGCCCCATTTATTGTTGATTTTGATTTGCTTTGTTTATTAAGGGGAACAAGGAGGATCAGGGGAACAAGGAGGACCCGGGCAACTA